GCAGCATCAGAGGAGCAGGAAAGCTGATGTTTCAGGTCTGGATCCTTTTTTCTGAAGAAGGGTCCAGACCCGAAACGTCAGCTTTCCTGCTCCTCTGATGTTGCTTGGCCTGCTGTGTTCATCCAGCTGTACACCTTGTTATCTTAAATAATGGCCAATTTTAAAAAAAAAATGTTAAGGCCTGTTTAGGTACATGAAAAGTAGAACAATTGTCAGAAAAGGAGTGGACAGATAGTTCAGGTGATTTTCTGATAGCAGAAAGTAAATTGCTTAATTTGTTGCTTGAGTTTTTGACTCTATTTATGAAGGAGGATGACGGGAGAACATGGAGAAATAGTTAATAGATATATATGGAGATCAGAAAGCAAAGGTTAATATGATTTACAGTCAATACACTTGTGGAAAAGAAATAGATATAGTCAGCTGTTTTTGAAATTGTCAAAAGACTGGTGCATGTCCATAGAATCTCAGCACAGAACCTGGCAAATTGACTCATTTGTGCCTGAGGCAGCTCTTTGAAAGAGGTAATAACCGAACAATTAGGATCACTTTGGGTGAGAAAAATGCTAGAGGCAATTGAAAGGAATACAGTTGGTGAACCTTTTAATAAGTTAGGGCTTGGGAGGAAACATGTGTTACTGTGGGTCAAGTACATTGGAATTTCAATTCTGGGACTTCAATTGGAGTATAATTCAGGATGATGGGATAGAAGTCTGTTATCTGCACTGAGTTTCAGTTGTGTTGGGAAAATGTCTAATAGGCGTTGGCCTAAAGCACAAAACTGTCTTTAATCCTACCCTAATTTCTAATCTCCTTCAGCAAATTCACACGATGTGGGAACCTAAAAATGCCAAATTGGTGTCTAAATGAATGTAGTGGATGGGGCTGAGAAATGGTAATGTGCAAAACAGAAGTGTTTTCAGTCTGCATCTAGTTACGACCGAAATTATTTTGGGAGTGTTTGAAATAAAAATATTTAATTCTGGAACCTAGTGGGTAGAAATGATCAAGAAATGAGCAAGTAATTGCTAATTAGGGTTTGTAATTATAGATTTGTTAAGCCTAGATTATGCTTTAGTAATTCCCATACTTCTGGAACATAACTGAAAAAAAATCACTTTTTTTCTCAAATGGTAACTTTGAGATTAAAGTCTATAGTATTAAATGTAAAGCAATATTTTGGTAAAAGATTGGCTAAAGGATAGCAACCAGAGAATGGAGCTGGTGGGTATTTCCCAAAATATCAACATTCAGCTGGTGGGTGTGCCAGAGACACACAAAAATGTCCCTGAGCAGAAGAGGTGTGGGGATGTCCAAGTAAAGTTTCAAAATTATACAAGAGTTAATTTTTAATTAGATAGGTAGGAAAAGATCAGCTGGTACATCAAGTCCTGACAGACCCTTCTGAGGGATGATGAAAATGAGTTTCACTAGAGTCATAGAGCGATACAGCATAGAAACAGACCCATTGGTCCAACCAGTCCATGCTGAACATAATCCCAAACTAAACTAGTCCCACCTGCCTGCTCCTGGCCCACATCTCCCTAAACATCTCCCATTCATGTATCTATCTAAATGTCTTTTAAACGTTGTAATTGTACCCGCGTCCACCACTTCCTCAGGAAGTTCCACTAATAGTTTGTCGCTCTTAAGTGAACAGAAATTTTGGTTTCTGGAAGATTGGAAGAAATATTTTTAGAGGTTTATACAAAATATTTGTTCATAAGGTAATACAATTACTGTTTCAGTCAATTGGATAACAATTGAATGAAAATTATTAATAATATGGCAACAAAGCCACAGTACATAATAGTGACACTAGTTGGTTAAATGATGTCTCTGTTCAAATTTCTCTGATTTTGACTCTTAAGACCAAAAGACCATGAGGCCTAGGAACAGAAGTAGGCCATTCATCCCATTGAGTCTGCTTTGCCATTCAATGAGATGGCTGATCTGATAATCCTAATTCATTTTCTTACCTTTTCCCTGTAACCCTTGATTCCCTTAATGATTAAATATCTGTCTGTCTCAGCCTTGAATATACATAATAATCCAATTTCTTCAGTAAAGAATTCCACAGATTCACTACCTCTGAGAGAAGAGGCACCTGGACGAATGCATGAATAGAAAGGGTAGAGAAAGATACGGATCCTGTAAGTGAAAACAGTTTGAGTATGGAAGGGCAAAATGTGTTGGCGCAGGCTTAAAGGGCCTGTCCCTGTGCTGTTTTGTTCTTTGTTCCTCTTAAGAAATTCCTCCTTATTCTGAAATTATGCCCTCTGGGAAAGATTTTCTGCATCCTCAAGTCCTATTGAAAAATCTTGTATGCTTCAATGACGTTGACTGTCATTCTTCTGAATTCCAACAAATGTAGGCCCTGTTCTTCACTTATTTTTCTCACCCTGTCTAAATTGTCCTAAGGGCAGTTTGATTGCTTCATTTCATTTTTATTAGAATTCATAATTTACCTCGTTTTAAACATATTTCGAAGTAGTTACTTAACTATTTTGCAGGGATTATTTACAAATTCTTTCTATTTGCCCATTTTTGTGTGTCTGTCTCTCTCCCGCCACTGCTTCTTCCTCCTAGCGTAAAATTGTTTTGGATTTTCACTGAACTTGACAAAAAGTGTTTATTGTTTCACTCTTGATTTCTGGATGCAGTGATCAGTACAATCTTTCAACCATCCCAATGGATAAATATTTCTGAAAGGGTGGAGCTCTCCAATTTTCTTTTAATCAAACTTGGCAAACCAGTGCTAAAGCACTGCATAGGATTTATTCATTTTCATAATAATGTTGCAATTAAAGAAACATAACAGTTAATTCCTGTCCAGTCTCTGTAGTGTGAAGAATTAATTTCAAGCAACAGAATCTAACTATGAAGTTGTCATATTTACATAAAGGAAGAATGATTCTTGAAAACTGACACATTTACAAGTTGGAATGGATTTTTAATTTTTTTTACATTGCCAGAAGTATGAAAGCAGTTGTTTGATTTGCAAAGATTGCTCACTTGTCCAGTTGGAGCAGAAATGAAGAATACTAGTTAACGTCTGCCCTCTATTGCAGGCAGCAATTTAGGAGAAAAATTAAGCATAATTGTCTCTCCATG